TGATAACTCGATGAATCGTGTGGCTTCGCCGCTGGGATCTTCCGAGAGGAATGGGAAAAAAGGGTGAGTGCGAGTTGATGCCGTGCTTGCTGGGGCTTTGTTGCACATCTGGTCTGGCATTTCACTTCATGCTTGCCCCGAGGTCTGGAGCTGCCCAGCATTCGGGTCGTGTTGGGGCCTGAGCCATTGGTGCCATGCTGGTCTCACGGATCGGATGGGTTGGTGACAAATATTCCTGATTCCAAATGGTTGTTGTTCAGTGTTGGGGCAGCTGATTATTTACCAAACCGTCGGCTCAGCAGGGTTTGGTTCTTCAATTATATCCATTCATGAATGGTCTCTTTGGTTACGGTGCTTTCTCAGGAACACATCCATGTTGCAGTGTAGTCTGGCAGCAGCAATCCAGTCGAAAGGCTACAACATAGAATTAATGTATCCTAATAGCTTTGGCCATGTCATTGAAGTAGGCCCCCGGGACAGAAGGCTGTCGCATTGCTTGACCGAGGTGGGCTTGCCATGCTCAAGTTATGACATTAAGCCGAAACCCTCAACTCAAAACCCTAGTCAATGGATGTGCGAAGTTCTGAATTCTAATTACAGAAAGCAAACCCCCAACTCCTAAATCCGAACCCCTACACCCTAACTAACCTCTCAACCTTAAGCCCTCAACCCTAAACCCCAACACCCGCAACCCGATACCCTAATCAAGGGACCTCGGTTGTGATCTCGGGGGTTTGACTGAACTGGCTTGCCGCCTTGAATGAGTTTTGCCTTGGTGGCATTCGCTTTCTTCGTGGGTTCAGCTTCTTGCAGTCTGCGATTCCTGGGGTCGTTGTCTTTGCTCAGCCCCCTTCCTGTCAGCTTTGTTGTAGCGGTAGCGGGATTGCCCCACATGCCCAGGCATGGATCCAAGTGGAAGACCGCGAAGCTCTTGGGAGCAGGCCCTTCTGCTTGCTCTCACTTGTGGGTGAAGAAAAGGTCGCAGTGCAAGCCTTGCTCCCACTGCCACGGTACGGGTGCACATGATCATGCGGGGCTCAGCAATGATTCAGACGTGATCATGCACATTTGCAGCGGGGCTCGCATAGCATTTCAATTTCATGGGATTATCGGAAAGCTCATGTACATGGGAAGACTGAAGCATTCTCGCGAGAGAAAGCTTCCTGAGCGACTTCTTTGCATTAGTGCTTTTTTGGCTGACAGGGGGAGCTTCTGCGACTAGTTGCGACTCTTGGGAATGAGGCTTGCTTCATCTGAGGCACTTGCAGGGGCGACACCACTTTGACCATATCGGGTTGCCTCCTCTGGAAGGACCAGGATACCCTGGGCACCCTGGCCAGTACTACGGGCCGCCGGCTGGTCCCGTGCATCCTCCCCGTGGGCCCCAAAGGCAGTCGTCACGGGCCTCTTTTGGGGGCGAATCTGGGAAATCTGGGGATCGCGACCTTGAGGAGTTGTTCCAGGAAAGCAGTGCCTTGATTGGGAGTGGAGCTTGCATGTGTGTTGCCATCACATTGTTTTCGCTGCGAGCCCAGGTGCCGAGGATGATGGGAGCAGCTCAATCTCGAAACATGGCTCGCGAGACTTTTTTTACTTCCATCGTTTGAGTGCTCCTTCAGTGCACTGGCAAATTTCAAAGAGTCTAGCTGCTCAGTATGCTCTCGAAACATAATAAGGACTGACAGCAGCCGGCGAGGATCATCCAAGAGGAAGAGGGATTCGAGCAAGAAACAAAAAAATGACAAGAAGAGGAAACATGATAAGAAGAAGAAGAAGGATAAGACGGATAAGAAGAAGGAAAAAAAAGGCCGAGGCACCGACGTCGTCGCAGGGCATGATGGCATACTTGAAACGCTGCTCAGTGCTGATTCCGCTTTGTCCCTTCGTGCAGGTGGCGGAGATTCCGAAGAATCCGATGCCGAAAGCCACTGGGCCTTATACTTATGACGTAGCAGGCGACACGTGTTTTCGCGAGCTTGTCGAGTATCCTGCAGGTGAGGTGCTGGACAAGCTCCCAGTGCCAAGGGCTCACTTGGCCCAGTGGAAAAAAGGAAAAACCAACGTTTTCCCAAGGACTTGGCCAGGGTTTTGTTTGAACTTTGGAGGGCAGGAGTCCTCGACTAGTCGCTGGACACAGCATATGCTTCTGGCTGCACTGGCTCTTGCAGGAGGGACCAGCTCAGGTTTCTGACCTACTTGGATGAGAAGCAGTTCCCGGCAGGCTCATGTGTGCAGACAACTCCGTAGTTCTTCACATGCCGCTTGATTGGATGAGTTCATACCGACCACAGGGCTACGCGAGCAGCTCTCAGAGGAGGGGGTAGGCCAGGCCTACTGGCTCCTCACTGGCTTGCCCCCTTTCTTCTCAGTTCGCGACCTCCGTGCAAAGAACAGAGGCGACCTGCATCTCGACTCTAATCTTTGGCCATAGGTGTGCATTGTTCCTGGTTTTTCTTCCGTCTGTGATTCTGCCATGAGTTCGTTGTCGCTGCAGGAAGCTCAAACTACGAGAGGCCATGGAACGATATGAAACTCGCTTGGGATGCCGGCGGATGATTGAGGTGCAGGCTGACTACGGGAATTTGGTTGCCTGGCTGTTGGAGGTCTTCTTTCCAATTCGTGCTGCCACTTCATGCTGCTGTGAGCTTCAAGTCCTTGCAATCTTCCAAGGATACTGTTGCAAGGAAGTATTCCTGGGAGACGGTCTTCCAGGGCAAATACCCCTCCATGCTCGAAGCACCTTGCCTTCGTACCGGACATCACCTCAAGTTTGGGATTTCGAACAAGTGGGTATACACTCAACCAAGGACAAGCCATCAGAACAGGAAGACCTCCGGCAGCAGTTTTACTTGGAGACCAGCAAGACCGGAGACCGGTGGCTGCATTGCAAGCACGGTGCCTGGCTTGCGATACTAATGCCGCTTGCAGCATTGTCTCATGTTGCTTGAAAAAAAGGAGGGTTGTTTTTTGACCTAGAGGTGGTGACCCGCGAATGGTGATACCCGTCACTGTACCTGCCCAACGCATTTATCGCGACGGAAAGCCTCTTCATTGCATCTTAACCCCGAGCATTGCTGGGCTGCTGTTTGCATCCCCCTGCTAGGTTCTACTTGCAAGCACCGGGACCAGACTTCTCTGTGGTGGAATGCGGTCGCATTTTCAATGACGACACGGGCTTTCAAACCTGGGTCGACACCCTCGCTCCGTGGCTTGCACGAGTGTCCTGCACTGTCGGCTTAGTGGGATTCGTTTGCTCGCTAGCTCGCTTCTCCCGTGCCGAGATTGCTGCTGCCAAGCAGAACAAGGATGCTCCCTGGTCCGCAGCTGTCAATAGATTGTTGACCGCTTCGCCACCGGAAGCTTTCGTGCCCAAAGTGCAGACCCAGCAAAGCTTGCCAGGACCATTGTTTCTAGCATTTCGTGGCAATATCAGGCATGGCTCAACCTGGCTAGCTTCAGCATTTCAGTGATTCAGGATTATTCAAAGCTCCGCAATCTTCGTTGGGGTCGCAACCTCCAGATGTCGAGGCTCTCTGTGCCTTTGGCTGTGGGAGTGTGTCTGTGTCTCTTTGTCTGCTTCACGCCCCGCAGGCAGAACTCCAGCAGGAGGAAAGTGACGAGGACATGGAGGCCCCGTGATTGGGCGAAGCTTGGGGGCCGGTTCCTGGTCAGACTGCTAGGTCATGTTGAAAGGAGGGCAGGCCGCGATGGAGGCAAAGATCGAGGCAAGGCGAGTTCTGAATTATTTTTGAAGTTGTGTTGTTGGCTTGCAGGCCCGGCTCCAAAAGGAGAAGGCGAAGAGGATGCAAGCCATGCAGGCCGTAGCTGTTGGGCCGCCAGAGGAATAATAACTAGTGGGGCAGTGTGTTCCGGCATTGCAGAGGACAAGATTGACCTGTACAAGAAGAACCAGTCCTCAGTGGCTGCCTCTCATCTCAACTGGCTCGGACAAGCATGCAGTGCTTTATCGAATTTGATTTCCCATCCCCAGTCCGTTGCCGCGACCAGGCTGGACCTGCTGTGGACGAGGGCAAGGTAAAAGGGTTTGGGGGCTTTGTAATTTTCGGTGATAGAGGTTCTAGCTGGGTCCGATGGACCTGAGGGGGGGACCGATGGTCCCCCGGGGAGCCGATGGCTCCCAGACCTTCCAGATTGTTGCTTCGTGTGTGACTGCTGTTACACTGTTGCAGCTGCTGCTGCAGAGTCGCTTTGCATTCTCGCCACCTTGCAAGGCTGCCTTTGACAAGAGGGTGGAGCAAGCTGTGAAGGACGGCTTTCAAACTCTGTCTATTTCACGTGCTCTCCAGATACCGAGCTGTGCCTAGCCAGGCTCGACTCGAGGACGAGGCCAGGAAAGCTGCCGCAGAGGACGGATCTAGGTTTTTTTCTTGTCTTTCCATTGCAATCATTTGTCAGGAACGGATTCGAAAGGATGAGGCCCGGCCGACTGGCTACAGGTATGTGGCTTTGCTGTGTTTATGTTTTGTCCTATTGACTATATTGCTAGGCGAGTAAAATCGAGATGGAAGAGCGAGTCGAGATGGAAGTCCAGGTACTTCAACTTCCGCTGTAGAAGGTTTCCTTGGCATCCATTATTTTTTTCATCTGGTCGCCAGGCACGCCTTCGAGCTGAAAAGCTCAAAGCTGCTCAGCAGGCCAGGCCAGATTGGAAGCAGAACAGGGGATGAAGTTTGTTTTGTTGCCAGGACCAAAAGCGACTGGAGGAGGAAGCCAAGAAACGTGCCGAGGTGCTTCCACTTTGATTTACAGTGCTTAACCCGATATCCTCATCCGTTTTTTGTTTTCTGGGTCACGATCAGGATCGCAATCGCAAAGAAGAAGAAGAGCAGAAAGCTGCTCAGGACCAGCCCACGCAGCTTTCGGATGTCCCTCTCACGGATCGAGGGTTCAGGCTTTTTCTTTTTGAGTCGGTGTCTTCGGGTTGGTCTTCTATCGATTGCCTGCTGAACTTTGGACAGGCTAGAAAGGAGAAGGAAATGGAAGACCAAGTGGAAAAAGCTGTCGAGGTGCATCCACGTTTAATTTAGACTGCTACAGTTGCGATTCCCTCGTCCTGCACTTGCTCTTTATTTCTGGGGTCTCGGCCAGGAACGCCTTCGACAGAAAAGGAAAGCTGAAGAGGAGTCCAAGCTGAAAGCAGCAGAAGACGAGGTGTCTCGGATTGTTCTAAAAGGTTTCAAGGCAAGGGCTTCAGGTTCAAAGGTGGCAGGTCCTGGGTTCTTGACCAGGAACGGGCCAAACTGGAAGAGCAGAAGGCAGCTGAAGAGGCCTCTGAGCTTGGATGTGGGTTGAATTAAGGGCTTGGGGTTCAAGGTGCTGGGTCTTTTGACAGGGTTCTTGGTCAGGCACGGGTCCAAGCGGAAGAGAAGGCTGCTCAGGAGGCCTGTCAGCTTGGATGTGGGGTCAAGTTATGTTTTGGGTTCTGGGATTCTGCTCAGGGGGCTTCGGCTGGTTTGAGGGTGGGGGTCTTTTGATAGGGTTCTTGGAAAGGCACGGATCCGAGAGGAAGAGAAGAAAGCTGCTGAGGAGGCCTTTGAGCTTTCCTGCAGGGTTCATCTCGGGTTGTTAGTAAGGGTGGTGGGTTTGTAGATAGGGTATGATAGGGTTCCTGGCCAGGCACGCATCCGAGAAGAAGAGGAGAAAGCTGCTGAGGAGCCCTTCCATGTTCGGTGTTATCCTACTTACTTACTAGGGTTGAAGATTTAGGCTTGTGGTTTTTGACGGATGCAGAGGATGCCGTGTGTGGTGTCTGTACGGTGTGTGGTATGCACCCAGCAGATTAAGGCCCTCTGACTCTAGGCTGCTGTTGTCTATTCTTGTTTGGCTGCTACAAAGGGAATTTGAAGATAGAGTCAAAAAAGCTGTCAAGGTGCATCCACGTTTAATTGCTACAGTTTCGATTCCCTCGTCCTGCAATTGCTCTTCATTTCTGGGGTCGCGGCCAGGAACGCCTTCGAGAGCAAAGGAAAGCAGAGGAGTCCAGGCTGAAAGCAGCAGAAGACGAGGTGTCTCGGGTTGTTCTAAAAGGTTTCAAGGCAAAGGCTTCAGGTTCAAAGGTGGCAGGTCCTGGGTTCTTGACCAGGAACGGGCCAAACTGGAAGAGCAGAAGGCTGCTGAGGAGGCCTCTGAGCTTGGATGTGGGTTGAATTAAGGGCTTGGGGTTCAAGGTGCTGGGTCTTTTGCCAGGGTTCTTGGGCAGGCACGGGTCCAAGCTGAAGAAGCGAAGAAAGCTGCTCAGGCCTAGTTCCGAGAACAAGAAGGGGTGGTTTGGTTAGGCTCGGGATTGGAGGCTTCTTGTCCAAAGTTCCTGTTTCTGTCACCACGCCGTTGCCTTCTGGCCAGGAAAAAGAAGCCATGGAAGCCAGAGTGAGGCAAGCTGCCGAGGACTGCCGACGTTCTTTGTCAAGTGCTGCCGCTGCTGTCACAGTGCACAGGTTGACTCTTAACTTTGATAACTGACTTAAGCCTAAGCTAGCCTATGAAGCAAAGGAGCAAGCAAAAAGAAGGGCCGCTGAGGCTAAGAAGGCCGAGGAGGCCAACTGTGTCAATCTGCTGCTTGGAAAGGCAAGGCCTAGGCATCCCAGAACGCTGTAAAGGAAAAAAAGAAAGCAGCTGCAGAGAAAGCTGCAGGAACCGCCAAGAAGGCGACAATAGGGTTGTAGATGTCAAAGCTTAATACTATTCGAGCTGCCTTCTGCTGTGCGGGAGGCGAGTCCAGATGACAATATCCGCCAACACAAGACCGAGGCTCAGGACGCAGTCAAGAAGCTTTTCGCAGGCCCCTGAATTAGTACTACCGTGTTCTACTTAGGCACGTCTTTGCTCTTAGCTGCCTGGCACTGTGCCCGCAGGTGCCAAGCAACCCGACTCATCGACGTCGTCAAAGTGATCTGATGTCCGGCTTCCACGTCATGACCTGGCCTGGACCATGGAGCATCTAGGCCAAAACCCTTGGTGGGTTGAACATGTACTGCTTATCGTCAATCCTAAATCATGCTGCCAAAAACATCGCCGCAAAAAATCGGGCAGCATTTCCTTCGCCAGCTGGCGGTTTCAATGAAAGGAAAACTGCACAGACCGACAATCCAGATTCGTATTTTTTTGAATTTTTTTGAATTTTTTTGAATTTTTTTGAATTTTTTTGAATTTTTTTGTATTTTTTTGTATTTTTTTGTATTTTTTTGTATTTTGCTGGTATTTTTTGGAATGTTGGTGGTATTTTTTTGTATTTGCTGGTATTTTTCTGGAATGTTGGTGGTATTGGTTTGTATTTTGCTGGTGTTTTTTTTTGGTGTGTTGGTGGTTCTCTTTTTATCTTGCTGGTCGTTTTTGGCATGTTGCTTGTATTTATTTGTTCGTACTCTGTGGTGTGTTGATGGTCTGTGTTGAGTGCCTGCTGTCTTTTTGAGTATTATAAATATTGCTTCAGATGTGGATATTCGTTTCCGTGTTTTTGCAAGTGTGTCGGCAGTATATCTTGTTGGCCTGTCTTGTTGCACGTGTAAAGGCAGTACACAGTATATCTTGATGATGGGCTGTGTTTGTTAGTATATTTGCTGTGGTTGTTTGTGTGTTAACCATTTCTGTATCGTACACTTTGTCTCGCAGGCTGCTTGTGCTAATCTGAATTTGTTGTTCTTGTTCTTCTTGTTGTTGTTGTTGCTGCTGCTGTTGTTGGCTCTGATGGTTTGTGTAAGACCAAGCCTAGTTTGTTTGCTGTGTCTGTGTGTCCCTATGCTCTGTTGGACCATGAGACATAAGTTCGCTTAGTGCAGTGCTTACAGCATAGCATCGAGACTGCTCGTCCGGAATTGATTCGCTTATCGTTTGCATCTTGGTAAGCCTTTTAAGCAATCCTTCCTGAGCATTGTGTCCTCGACTCATTTCGGCTGCACTCAGGTAGCTGATGGCTGCTGAACTCTGAAGTCCTGGAGGAACCGGGAAGACTCTGCCTATCTGCCCAAAGTTTGTGCAACAACTTAGGCTTCAAGGGTTTTTTCTGGTGTATCCTCCAGCCTCCACGGCTAAAGCTTTGCGGTTAAAGCGGTAGGGTTTCGACAGTTGGACTTTGGGCTTCTAGCTGTGCGGGTTGTGGGGTTCTGAACCTGCTAAAAATGCGATTTAGGCAGGGTCGAGAGCTAACAAAAGCCCTGTGGTTACCTGGTTGATTCCGTCAGGCAGTCTCTGTGCCCGGGGATTTTTTATTACCTTTCCGCTAGTCGGCCAGCCTGGGCCGGTTCACGGTTCTCGGCTCGGCCGACCGGTGCACCTTGAGAGTTGGACTGGATTCTCATGCCGACCAAAATCGAAGCAGACTCAGTGCATTGTTGCCGCACACGCCAAGCTAGGAAGTCTTGCACTCTCTGTGTCGTCTGGGATTACTTCACTTGCTTGGAAGTCGCCTGCTCGAAGTCAAGAGTGCTTATTACTGCTGAGTTACTGAGATGAA